GAGCTCCCTATGGGCTGCCACTCGGCCTCTGTGATGATGATGATGATGGTGGTGGTGATGATTAACGTATGGCAGGAGGGAGGGGGCAGCGGGAGGAGGAGGAGTGAACGCGGGGCGCTGTCTCTTCAAAACGAGGACCCAACACCACAGGATGGTTGGGAACACATTGACTCGTGGATCAGGGCCAATCGGGAGAGGGGCAAGGGAAGGGCATGCAAAAATATCCTGGCGAAGGACCCGACCAGATGCAGTTGCGAGTACCGCAATTGTGAGTATCTTCTTCGATGGCGCTGTAGGGATGTGCGGAAATCTGTGCGGTGACCACGAAACGTGTGAGGGGTGTGCCGAAGTCTGTGCGGTGGGCGCATGGGGGCGCAGCCACTGGGGCCTTCGCTGGGGTTCCCTATGGGGCCACGAAACGTATGAGGGCTGTGCCGACATGGGTGCGGTGGGCGCATGGGAGCGCAGCCACTGGGGCCTTCGGTGGAGCTCCCTATGGGGCCACGAAACGTGTGAGGGGTGTGCCGAAATCTGTGCGGTGGGCGCATGGGAGCGCAGCCACTGGGGCCTTCGCTGGAGCTCCCTAATTGGGCCACGAAGCGTTGTGAGGGGTGAGGTGCGAAGTGGGCGCGTGGGGCCGCAGGGAAGCGCAGCCACTGGGGCCCTTCGGCTGAGCTCCCCTATGGGGCCACGAAGCTGTGAGTCTCTGTGTGCAGAAATGGGTGCGGTGGGCACATGGGGGCGCAGCCACTGGGGCCTTCGGTGGAGCTCACTATGGGGCCACGAAACGTGTGAGGGGTGTGCCGAAATCTGTGCGGTGGGCGCATGGGAGCGCAGCCACTGGGGCCTTCGCTGGAGCTCCCTATGGGGCCACGAAACGTATGAGGGGTGTGCCGAAATGAGCGCGGTGGGCGCATGGGAGCGCAGCCACTGGGGCCTTCGCTGGAGCTCCCTATGGGGCCACGAAACGTGTGAGGGGTGTGCCGAAATGGGTGCGGTGGGCGCATGGGAGCGCAGCCACTGGGGCCTTCGCTGGAGCTCCCTATGGGGCCACGAAACGTGTGAGGGGTGTGCCGAAGTGGGTGCGGCGGGCGCATGGGAGCGCAGCCACTGGGGCCTTCGCTGGAGCTCCCTATGGGGCCACGAAACGTGTGAGGGGTGTGCCGAAATGGGTGCGGTGGGCGCATGGGAGCGCAGCCAGGTGACTGGGGCCTTCGGTGGTGCTCCTCATGGGGCCACGAAACGTGTGAAGGGTGTGCCGAAATGGGTGCGGCGGGCTCATGGGAGCGCAGCCACTGGGGCCTTCGCTGGAGCTCCCTATGGGGCCACGAAACGTGTGAGGGGTGTGCCGGAATGGGTGCGGTGGGCGCATGGGAGCGCAGCCACATGATGATGATGATGATGATGATGATGATGATGATGATGATGATGCTGCTGATGATGATGATGATGATGATGATGGTGAGGGGGCAGCGGGAGGAGGAGTGAACGCGGGGCGCTGTCTCTTCAAAACGAGGACCCAACACCACAGGATGGTTGGGAATAACTCTTGGACCATAGAAGCAATCGGACGAGGGGGAGGGGGGGGGAGGAGGAGGAGGAAGGAGAGGAGGAGGAGGAGGAGGAGGAAGGTGAGGAGGAGGAGGAGGTGGAGGAGGAGGATGGAGGAGGAGAAGGAGGGCGGGGGAAGGGGAGGAGGAGGAGGAAGAGGAGGGGGAAGGAGGAGAAGGAGGAGGAGGAGGAGGAGAGGGTCGGCGCTCTCCGTCCGAGTTCCTGGTGTTGGATGGGCTGGCGGGGATGCGCGAAGCGTCCATGATTTGTTCAGCAGAAGCCTGATGAAAGCAGACATGCCACCGTCCATCTCTTGAACAATGCACGTCCTACACGTAGCAACGGCAAACCACGCTTCCTCGGTCGATAGGATTTCGGGGCCCAGTTCAAGAAATGACCAATAGACAGCCTCGACTTTTCTGCCGTCGTGGCCGATGGGGTTCAGCCCGATCTCGTCGGCATACACGACGAGCCGCCATGGTTTGTCAATGCTAGGAGGGCTTCGGCGGACGGCGTCCTCAAACACGGCAGCCATGCCTGGACAGGCCTCTGCGTCGCACGCCTTCCAGATCATCGCCATGGGGTGCTGCACCCCGATGCGCACAGGAGGATTACCGTCCCCCTGGGGCAAGCCGAGATCTTGAACGAGCGGCCCGTACGGCGTAGGCTCAGAGGCTATGGCACGCCTAGCTCGGCCTTGGGAAGAACGCGACCAACTCTCGGGCAGCCCATGGTTGGCAACCTGCGTGAGTAAACGCTCGACTGCCCTGTGCGATGCGTACGAACCACGAGAGAAGTCTGTCAACTTCTGCAATTTAGCGGAAGGTGGCATGCCTGCCACGTCCGCTCGAGCCAAAACGGCTTTACCAACATCAGGTGCGCCAGATCACCTGCACCAGATGCATCACGCATACCATAGCACAGCATAGCATTGCATGCGTTGCGCCCAATGGTAGATGGCAGATGTGCAAGAACGCAGCATGACATTGCATAGGAACACAGCTCGGCATAGCACGGCATATCGAATAGTGCGGCTGCATAACCGACAATCGCAGTGCGTTTGGCCGCGTGGTCTGGCATCGCGCCAGTGCTGCTGTCGCGAAGCGCATAGCGTTGTTTGGAATAGCATAGCTGCGCACATCGGCTTACAAGGGTGGTCAAATAAGTATTGAGTTTGTCCTTTTCTTGGTCCTAGCATACTGTCTCATTGCACGCCAAGTCGCCACATAAGTAGGAACGCGCAGAATCAACCGTAACGCCATCGATGCACCATATACTTGCCCCAAGTATTAGACGGCATCATGGCCAGAGCTCGTCGGACGGGCGGGCCCAACACTCGCAGCAACACAGTCTGGGGGGGGGGGCAACGGGAACAGTCCAAAAGTCCGGCCACGCGTGTACGGGCACGGTGGCGGCGGGAGAAGTAGGGGTCTGCAGACCAGGCTCCAAGAGGGGCCCTCAAGCACAAGCAACCACAAACCCCTCCCATGGTAAAGTCTGCCTGGGGAGAGCAAGGCGCCGCCAAGTTCGTCACATCTAGGGCAATAGATTCACAGTCTTTTAACGCCTCCGCCGCGCGGACCTGCAGGTGCTTCGGGGCAAAGGGAAGGGGGGTTGACGGTGATGGCGATGTCAGGGCGGCAAGGAGGGTGGAGCAGGAATGGGCGGATGATCTCTTGATGGAGATGGTGAGTGATGCAGCAATGGGCGTTTGCAGACAAGCGTTGTCTGAAAAAGCCGCCATACTGTAATCGGTAGCTCGCGGGGCCCCGAACCTGCGAGCACACTGGGTCATCCGACTCAGGAACTCCCGACACAAGTCGCCGCGCATCCCTCACAATTTCTCGGCCTTCCACTGCGCGACCGCCTTCCTGTATGCTGCCCTCGCCTTCACCCTGTCACCGCCCGTGGCCGTCATCGCGCGGCTGTAAGCCTGGGATGAGAACGCGTTCATCAACTTGTAGTTCTTGGTGCCTCTCTTGGGGTGAATCTTCTCGCCCGCAACCTTGGCTTTGCGGGGCGCCGCGGCAGCTGGGCGCGGCATGCGGCCAGCGGGCCGCCTCCTCACGACGGCGTCATCGCCACCATCGCTGGAAAGGTCAT